CAACGAAAGGAGACTGCGACCACACAAAAGGCCACACCATCTTGATCTTCATACCTTCGATTTACACATTTATTTAAGGTATTAGTCTAGATTGGGGGAAATGCTAAGTTACTTATGGTTCCTTCAGCCTCTTAAATCACGCTTATGGAAATCACAGATGAGCCTGAAAGTTTCATTAGAGTGCTGCTAAATGCTTCACATATATTTAAGCAAATCTACTGTTTGCGTGGACCTTCGCTTTTCAGTAACGGTAAGTTTTTAAAGCCGTACCTACATTTTTACATGCACATTGATAGGAAAATACGATAAGATATGTATTTACCCTATTTTATTAAAATGAGGAGGGACTAGTAGTTACATTTTTTCACAATGATCTTACATTTTCGGCAAATTCCAAAAATTCATTCTCATCCGAGGTGGATGGCGGTTTCGACATCGCCAGGGTCTCATCAATATCCTCAGCATTACTCCAACTGTGATAGTGGCAGAAAAATTAACCACTACGCCATGAAAACCAAGGGCACTTGTGAAAATGTGGCGTAGTGATTAACGTGTCTAGATCATATGCTGTTCTATCAAGTTTCGATTACCGTTGAAGATGCTGATAAGACCTAGGTGAGGTCAAAGTGGCATTCCGCCCTGGATCAAAATATCTTTTGGTAAGCAAGAATGTGTGAAAGGCAATGGAAAAGTAATACCTACTTGTATTCTAGTGACAAAATTTAACTACCAATGTTTCACCACCTTAACGAAATTGGGTGAATACATCATATACATACATATATATATATATATATATGTATATATTTGATTTAAAAAAATGAAAAATAAGATAAGACTAGTCTTCCAGATATGGAAATATCAGCGACGAGGCAAAAATAATTTTCTGCATATTATGTATTATTTCCTGAGCTGAACTCAGATGTAAAAGAATACCTTTGTTATTCATCTAAATCGCTCCCATACTAATCTATTTGCACCTCTTATTATTTACCCTTAGTTTGGATATTTTGTTACATTTGGCCTTACGAGTTGGAAGGGAACTCAAGTCTCTAGCATATGGGCAAAAATCTGTTAAACAATCCAAGCGCCTCCACAATGAAAAATTCTCATCAATCTGTATCATAACATTCAGAAATTTTGCCAGTTAGCTTAACTTAGATGCACGAATATATATTAACTCCTTGCTAATAGAAGTGAAGCATACTTCCAATCTATTTGTGGCAAGAAATCATTAGAGCCATTTTCGCCCTAATTTGTTTAAGGTGATGAGGGATTGGTAGTCGAATTTTCCCACAATAATATAAGTAGGTATTACGTCTTCATTGAATTCCACATAAACTGGCTTCCAAAAGATATTCTCATACTGGATGGACTGCCAGTCCCTTATCATCTTAAACGTAAAAGTGTGCATACAACTCATAAACATTATCTACTGGTATTATCAAAGATCTACTTATAAACGAAAAATAAGTAATGCAGTCGATTTGTTTAGCAAATACAATTTTGTTTCATCGACATTCCAACCACATCATGTGACAAGGTAAAATGCCTGGCCTTCCTTGAAATTTAATTGTGCCCTGTGACCCAAATGCATTCGTGACGGTGTGACGTGATGGTTAAACGTGTCAAGAGTTTATGCCTTGCTGTCATGTTTCAAGTCCCGATAGGAGGTGCTGATGATTCGAGGTCGAAACTGTGGTTCACTCTGGATAAGAATACCTTTTGGGAAGCAAGGCTATGCGAATATGAATATGGTAAATACAGCCCTTATATCAGATATAGTAGTAGTCTTGAAAAGCCTATCTATGAAGCAAGCATATTAAACTACTTGAACCTTGCAGTCCTAATTCTATTTTAGTTTTATCTCTATTTTAAAGTGAACTGTAAGTATCTTTATCTGCGCCTCCTCTTTCACGAATTCACTCGTTTATGTTTAAAAGAGGCCAAATTATTAGGGCCCTAATTGAAAAATCTCGAATTGCCATATTATAATATATTGGTACTCCGAGTATTCCATAATGAAGTGTTTAAAGGAAAAGCTACTGGGAGATCTGGTGACAAATTAATTCAGAAGTATTTGCTTTAAACGGATCGTATACCATTAAATATGGATTTTGTAGAAAAGGCTATACCCAGCTACAGACTGCTATAAATCTGGAAAAAAGTGTTTAGCTGAATGCGTTGTTATTTTCACCTAATTATTCAACAAAGCCTTATGGTTTAGAGGCTTATTGCTTGTACATCTGAAACTAAAGTCTCATAAGTAATCCTTAATTACACAATAAACGAACTTGCCTTCTTGGCATCAAGATCATCTAAATGATTCTGAATGAATTGAACTGTCGAGGTGTAATCTGCCTGATTGAACTCGTAGGGAATGTTCCATCCAATTGGACCGAATTTGCGTCTCTCCTGGACAGTGGTATGCAAGAAGGCGACTGCATAGAGCAATGGCCTCCACTGAGGAAGGTTGCTAATCTCCATCTGATCCTGTGTGAGCAAAGCGTAAGTGCGTCTGAGGCCAGCGCGAATGCCAAGTGGTGGGTCGTAGGTGAACTTGATGCTCGATTGCAGCAGATTTATGGGAAATTTTGGATGAGCCTCTGTGGTGATCCAGCAACGGAACTGGTCATGAACGCCCTCAGTTGATAATAGCTGAATTAGTTATCATACCAGATGCATAGTAGAAAGCTTATTAGAAAAAATAATTTTAAAAGTTGGCAGAATATAAAGCTTGGGATGATGCAATAGATTAGCGGCCATGCCGGTGTTTGTGGAAGAGAGGAATTTTCTATTATGACTGCAATATTTTGGTGGTTAGGTTTACTGTAAAATCGCACTCTTTGTCGTTTGCAATGCTGAGAAGCCTTGGAGAAAAGCATAAATTAAGGCCTCCTTATTTACTCTTATCGTCAATATAATATGAAATACGAGAATGTGGTTATATATGAAAATCACTTTATTTGTGGTTGTTTTTTGTGCTCTTCACATCACTTAGAATCTCGTTGTGGGAGCCAAGACCTAGTTAAGATCGAAACTGCAATCTATTCTAAATGGTATTTCCTTTTGATTAGGCAAAATCAATAGATGAAATAAGACCTATTCTTCCTTTCATCAGAGATCTTGCTCTCCATATTTCGTTATCAAAATCTGTTGCGACATTTTAGGTATTATCTGATACTTATCTTATTTCATTAGGGCTAGGTTGTAAATATATACTAAAATAGGGTCTTTAGTGTATTATATATAATAATTTAGCTAGTTCAGGTGTAGTCTCGTGCTTTGAAGGTGTCTGTAGCAAGAGTTATTCAGAGCTTAAAAGCTGCATACTGAAGTCCTCAGGGTTCAAAATGAAGTTCAAGTTAATTCGCATATTGTAGCAAGGTGCTGCTAGTCTAAGAGTAGAAACAAGCATGTTTTAAATGCTTTTAGTTTTAAAATTGGCCTTTATACATGCACTTAACATTGATAGTTAAAATAAAATTAATATCAATATCAAAATTCATAGGATTTTTTTGCTTTTATAATATAAACAGGTTAAACTCACCGTATCGAGCAATTCATCCATAAAATTGAGTCCAAGATGACAATTTTGCAAAAGGATCCATCGGCCTTCAACCATACTTAATGATAGAAGCCGCCGAGCAGGTACTTCCTGACCTTGACCCATGGAGATTGCACCGCATTCTAAAGAATATAAAGTTATTAAATGGACCGATTTACACGAAAGAATATATAAGTTGTTACCTCTAGCTCAGGCCAAATAGCCTGATAGGAATTGCGGCACTTTAATCAGAGGCCAATACAATCTAAAGTTTCCAGGTAACGACACTAGCTCAACAATAAGTAAACTTTGTCAGAAAATGGAATTCTCATATTTGTGATAAAAGCATCACACATTAAGCCGAAGGTATGAGGACCAAGATGGTGTGGCTTTTTGTGTGATCCACATTAAATTTTGAAAATGTATGCACCTTAACATCAATTCTATTCCAGTAGGCATTCCATTCCAGTCAGGCATCGCGCGCTACTCTCAGTCAGAATGATGTGGTGAAGTCCAAGAATTTTAGAGGCTATAGAAATGTCTCAAAAATTATTTTATAGTTATCCTAGTTCGCATGAAGTGATGAAGTACTTGTAGGAAATTTTCCCACAATTATATAAGTAGGCCTAACGATGCTGCTGCCATATTTCTATGAATTACAGCGCCTCTCAGGGCAAATGCGACTTGCAAGGTAAATCAGACCGTTCTCGCATCACATCTGTAGAGCGATGGCCGACTAGGAAAACTTATATTTCGTCATTGCAATCTACTACGTTACTTATATTCATAGTAAGTAGAGTACGAGACTTTAAGAAGACCTTAAATAAGCATGGACTCACCCTAAGTCACATAGGGTGATGAAAGGATGAGAGTTTAATTTTTACACCAGAAGGTGACTCTTATGCAAGCCTACTGGTTTTCCAGAATAC